ACATTAAAAGTAAGGTCTCAGGCAGCTTTAATTGTTATGCAGTGACATAAGTCTGTATCTACACAAGAAAGAACAACACTACTTCTTGTTGAATTAGCAATTGTGGTGCGTTAAGAAAAGTTTTTAACCTATTTTACAATTCACTACAGGAATAATAATACAGATAATAATTTCATATTTCACATTATAGTATTAACTTCAGTTTTCTGGCACAGTTGCCAATGAAACAGTATGACAGGTATCATCTATGGTAAACAAATCTACTCATTACATGTTAAAATTCTGCATCAATCGACTCACACTGGGAGTTCAGTAAGTTTGCATCATGCAATTATGTTCTTTATTCTACCTACTTCACCTGCTACATAAAACCGGAGTAATTGTCTACCCCCAAAAGCCTCCTTTCAACAATATCTTTTTTTCAAATGAAAACAAATTCTGCTGTTTTAGAGGCACCTAGCTGCAAGCCAAACTAATTTGTACTATGCCAAATATAAAGATAGCTATCGGAAGAGAGCATCCATCTGCGTTCGTCTGCAATGATCCATCACAGCAGGCTGCAAAGGCTGCCCAAGGGTGTTAAATGAATGAAGGAAGACTGCAGAGCTGACGACTCAACAGTCCTAGCCACAGGCTTTTCCCCCTTCAACCCCCTGATGTGCACCAGGTGTAAACTGAGAATTGACACCTGCTTCAAACAATCAGCATAGCTGAAGTGATTTCAACATGGAAAACTCAAGCTCTGGATAAGCTTCTGATTCACTGAACAGAACAAAGATGCAAAGCTGGATCTTAAAAAAATATTACTTTAACCTAGAGACAAGACTACCACAGAGGGATTAAACACAATCCTATGACCAAGATGCTAATTCTTCCATCCTTTCCCATGGAACCTCCTTGTCACAACAGTATTGAAAGCTATAAGATATAACTTAGAACATAAGGAATCCCTGAAAGATTGTAACCTCAAAGCTGACTTCTGCTCATGATTAAAAAATCCAAACAGAAAATGGTATAAACAAATAAGAGTTTGCAAAAATAGAATTATTTTGAGACTGTACTAATACTTATGAATTAACAGTAACGTAGGATTAATCATCAGTGATACAGGTAGACAGCACTTTAAGAGCATCTTTCAAATGAACCTGCTATGTTGCCAGAATCAAACAAGCATGCCACTGAAGTATCAACCAGTGAATATAATCATAGTATTTCATTTAATTTACTTGTGTTGACAAATTAATTTGCAGCTGCATTTTCATAAGACATTTGAAAAGGACATTTGACAGAACAAAACTTAATGATATGCATATAGTCCAAATAGGTATAGATGAAAATGTTTTTTTGCCTTTATTTAAAAGAAACATTCCTCGCTTAGATGGGATGTCTAATAATTTAAAGTGTGTAAAACTGTATCCAAACCAGACTGAAACAAACAAGAGATCACTCTAACTCATTTATTTTTCTCACCTTCCCACGATTTCCTGTCAAGACAACTCAAGGTGCCACAAAGTAATTCAAGGTACTGTATAAAAAGTTGGTTCTTCCTGAGCCTCACTCACCTTGCACAGCTTCTGATACCGTGGTGAAGAAATAGCCATCCTCTGCAATCGATGCAAGAAGACCACAACTTTTTGCAGGGAGGTCCTCACCACAGCCATCATTTTAAGTTTGCCAGACTTCTGGAGGCTCTTCTGAATTTGCATTATAAACGGACACCGTCTCTCATTTCCTCACAGTTGGGTGACGACTCACTCCCTGCTCTGAGCATGCTCCACTCTAGCCACCCTGAAGAAGCCCAGGAGAGACTTGGCTGACAGGCTCAGTGTCCCAGAACCAGTTTCAGAGGTCAGCGTGCCAAGAGCAAGGGCAGTGTGGTCCCAAACGCTGCAAACGCAAAGAGTGAGGACCGAGAGGAGAAGTTGAGCTGCCGAGAGATAAGCTGCTGCTCCCACTACTTCACAAGTGTGCGCTCGACAGCAGGGGAAGGTTATTAATTGAAACATGAAGGCTGCAGAAACAAAGGAGTGGTCCCCTGGGAAACTGACTTCAGCGCATCACCAGAGTTCATCCCTGGCAGCTGCTCTTTATTACAAAAGACGGGATGATATTAATTCTCCTCCTAGAAAGGATGGCTTGTGAGTGCTTCTCTCCGTCTCTCCTGGACCTAATGCAGCTCTGACACAGTTGCAGAGTGAGAGCGTGCTATAAATCTAAGGGAGAGAGAGAGGGGTCTCAGCTCTCATTGCTCTGGCTATTCACTGAGAAACACTAAATCATTCATATGCAGAATCTCCACCTCCTGAGAAGAACGTTTAAAATGACGAGAGGATTATTGTATTTCATTACTCGGATGACCTATAAATATGGAGCATGACAGTCACAACAAGCTGAAGGATTTCCACATGTGGTTCTGAGTATTTGTTTTCTTTATAAAGGACTTGTCAGCAGGTCTAAACACACTATTAAAAATGTAATGGATAAGGTCAAGTAAGGCACTTTGCTTTTTACCTTTTTAACCATTACTTTCTTAAAGCAGAGCTGTGCCTTTTATTTCATTATTTCTCTGAATAATTACTTGACTACTTTTGTGACAAAAAAACATACTCCCCTTGTGCTTTTTATGTACATTACGCAACAACGTTTTACCTTATTATTACTAATTATAACCCAGGATTAAAAGCTGCTACGAAGCTTTATTGCTGTATACTGAAAAGAGTATAGCCTGCTATTATTAGGCTATACAGAAGACATGAAACAGTGTATTCAAGATTTGATAGTACATGGTAGTACATGTGATAGTATTTAAGGAATGCTGCAGTGCGTTACTTAAAGCATACAAGTAATAGTTTCTGTGATAGGAAAGATAAACGGTTTGTCTCCCTTTGTGTTATAGAATATCCATTCACAAACATGAGACATGATCTTTTCCCAAAGAGTTACGATCAATGGACTCTCTCTGATGGCCAGCATATGAAATACTGGGTTTAATTTTTGTACCAATATAAATCTCAAAAATGTTCAGGAAAAAAAAGTTTTCATTTTTATTCTTTACTCCTATTTCATTTGAACGCTACATATAGAAAATCAATCAAATGCTCAAAATTCTGAGAGCTGTCTCATATTTTTATGACTTTCTGAGAGTAATGTATTACTGAATACCAATGCCAACATCACCCTCTGCAAGACAAAACACCAGACATCTAAACAAATAGTCAGATTCTGACAAAAATAAAACATGACCATATACACTTATATAATCCAGTTAAGTTAGAGAGGGAAGACAAATATGATACAAAAGACAACTACAAACTGGACTAGTATATACTGTATATAAATCTACAAAAGCAAAGATCCAAACTTGGTATTACATTTTATTTTGAGATATATTGCTTTTAACACTATTTTCTAAATGAAAAATGTTTACTTAATGCAAGCTGTCTGTTTCTAAGTGTCTGAAAGTTGACCACAAAGGGAAAACCTATATCTATCGCCCTTAAACTGACGAGAGTTACAGTAATGAATATTTTACATACAGCATTTCATTTTTTGTAGATCTGGTGCTTGGCCCTACTCATTGCATCAATCTGTGAACTTTCACACTAAAAGATGCCTTATTCAATACTTCACACCTACATTGAAAAGCTTAAACATAACCATAGGCTCTTTTTGAAAAAATGCAATGAAGAAAGCATGCAATAAACCGTTGGTAAGAGCTTGGATCTTATACAGCTCTTCGGAAACACAGTAAAACCTTAAAGTCAGTGTTGAAAAACAAAATCACTGCTTCAACAGAACACAAACACAGTTATCACAGGTTGTTTAGTGGAAAATGTCATCAATAAACCTCAATGAAAAATAAATCACAAAGACCCTGTATCTACACTAAAATAAGTACTCAACTTCACATTCAACTGCACTGAGAAAAAATATAGGAAAATATTTTTTTTAATGTTCAGATTTAAATTATTTATTTTTAAAGGTTTTTCTCCATATAAACCACCCTAATTTGACAATGCCTGGCATGAAAAAAATAAACTATGTCCAGTCACTAGAGAAAATCACACCCCACACACCATGAACTACTTTTGAAAACTGATAAACATAATCAATGTTCTGAACCAAGTCACAAATTAATAAATGAAAAAAAAACAGCTCGGTGCGAGATTACTTCTCCCTCGATTTTAAATTAGAACACCAAGTAAGCAGGTAGGCAAAACCTTAATTTCAGAACTCGGATTAATTTATTAAGTTCATATAAATGTTTGAAAAAGAACTGAATCTGAAAGTTTCCCCTTTCATATAGCACCATTTATATATATAATTATTATTATATAATAATTGTTTTGTCAAAATAACAGATTTTCATTTAAATTCTTAAGTTATTGAAACTTTTTACTTCAATTATAAACTAGAAAAGATATTTTTTAGCGCAGCCTGCAGAGAGCTTACAGTACATCCTTACACAAAGAATGTTAAAAACAGATCTATGGTTTGTGAAAGAAGACACTGTCTATAAATGTACCCCCCTCACAAAAACATCCATCCATTAACTTTCTGACCACTTAATTCAATTCAGGGTTGAATGGGAGCCAGAACCTATCCTGCAAGCAAGCCTGCAACCAACAGGCTCAAGGTAGAATACACCCTGGACAGGATACCACAAACAAACATTGGGAGAACATAAAAACTCCTCTCAGAACATCAGGACCCACTTATATGGGAATATAGTCAGGATTTTTTATTTACATTTACGAAGTGTTGCTTTCTTAGTTGTGTTTCTAGTGCTGCCCCAGTAGAATGTCTTACATGAAACAATTTCCTAAGAACAAATCTTGTTGCTGCCTTTTACAAGTTTGCAATGTTTGATTCTGGTTTGACTCTGGCCACCTAAAACTCGACTTTTTGTGGGATCTTGTAGGATTTTGTAGGATCAACCATCATACCCTCATATTCAACACACATCTTCACCGAGATACTTCTGAAGAGGCGTCTCCTACCTCCAGCTGACTCCTGAGGTCCTTGATGCGAGCACCGTCCTGTGAAAGGTCCTCCCTCTGTGAGGCGTCTGACAGCATGTTGGCCGTGGTCTCGGCCTCCGGCAGCCACTTGAGGAATCCCTCCAGTTCCCTCAGCGATCCCTGGAGGGACTTCATCTCCATATCTAGGGAGCTCTGTCTGTCATTCGCTCTGAATGGGAACAGAAGCACAGGACAAGGTTTCAGACCTCAGCAGAGTATTTTGGGGCTTTCTCAGCAGTGCGATTGGGTCATTTTTCTAGTTCCCTCTGTATTGCCTTATAAGTTCTTAAATCAAAGTGGATACACTTCTCAAGAGTTTTGTTAACTTGCTATGATGAAATGTTAGGTTGCTGAGTAACTTTTCTGAATTAAGCGAAGTGCTTTGAATCTGAAGGGGCTCTCCTAATGCACAGTAGTGAATGGAACCGAGGATGGCTTGTTTGCATAGACCCCAAGACCAGAGACGACACAAGGGAAAAGGTCTAAAAAGGACTGGAAGTTAATTAGCACAAGTTAATTTACCCAAAGAATTTGGATGGGGATGGTGGAGGGTAAATTGCTTAAAATCGAGTGACAAAAGCACATTGTAAATCTAAACTAAAAAAAACATTTACTGTATTAACGTACTTGCAACAGCATGCCCAAAGAGATGACATATATTCATTTTTTAATATGAAATCATTCTTTTGAAGAGATATTAGGTTGGCACACACCTACACAACTAGCCCACCAAGTCCCTGTCAAGTGGGTACATTGCCCAGCTCCCACAATGAGAAGCATTGTTTTGCCTTTTCCTGGCAAATCAGGAGTTGCACTGTGATTCACATAACTCCTACATCCAAGGCATCAAGTACTGTCCTTCCTGACAGTTTTGTACTACTATTGACTTAACGTTTTACCCCTCTCTGGTTCTGCCAGTAGAGAATGCTAATGACCTGTATTGTGAGACTGTTTCTTCTACACTTCCCAAAGTTGCTGCCAAGATTGCAGTGGTCTTTGATTCGGATACTAATTACAGTTTGATATATCCTGCCCTAGGGCCAGTTCATCTTGCCAGCTCCTGTCAGTCTCTTCACTCTGCACATCATATTCTGCTGTGTTGTTCCCCATCCAATTCACTCAGCTATTCTAGGACCTTGGATATCCTTCTCTTCCAATGCCACATGATGTAAAGCCAAACATCCCAAAGAGCCACACTTTTTGCAGTGTTAACCCTTCACCTTCCTGACTCCCACGGGACAGTGCTATTGAAAAAGTCAGTCACATCTTTTAACTTCTGATCTTTCTCCATCTTCAGTTGCATTTTAAATTCTGGTGGTGAGAAGGCACATCTTCAAAAAGGTGGGGTCAATAATCATCCAATAACAGCTATTTTAAATCGACAAAAACATATTGCCAGCAAGCAGGATACCAAGGGGATGTTTCGTTTGTATTCAATCAATTGTACAGGCAATATACTAGATTCTAAGAGTCAGTATATTAAATGGATGACATGAAAAAAAGCGTTCCATATCATCCCAGCAGCTAAAAAAATAGTTTTTAACTACACAGCTATACTGTGCATGAAACAAAACAAATCAGACTTACACAATTAACAATTTGGAAGCTCACAAATTATAGTTTCTACGGCAGGCCATAAAGGTAGACTAACAAAGGCTGACTGAACATAACACTGGGAGATTGCATCTAATGAGCAATGATAAAACAGCACTATTACGTTAATGACACAAGGGAAGCACAGAATGCCACCATTGAAGTTGGAACTTGTTGTACTATTAACAGTTTCCAAAAAAGCTAATGCTACCTACTGCAATTTCACATGCTCACTCCCATTCTCTAATTTTCACATACTCTAATTTTTTTAATGTAATTAAAATGTCATTTTTTAAACCTTTATTAAACCAGTTGAGATAATTCAATGGTAACCTTAGAAGTGTTCAACTAAACAGGAGGGGATTTACTGGAGCAACATGAGCAAAGCACCTTGCTGAAGGAAGAAACCCAGGTGCTGGACACAAAATCCAGAGATCCTGATCCCTCAGTCCTAAATCCTCTTCCCCCGTGCTGCCCATTCAATACATGATGATCAATTCACAAGTCACTGCCCACATCCAGACACACAAAGACACCTGTTTCTGATGGCATCCCAAGCTGAAGTATGTTTGTCCATGATCTCCTTCACCTTTCTGGTGTCATCAGAGGCATAGTCACGGAGCAGCTTGCTAGACAGATCATTGAAGGAAGCCACTGTAATCTGCCCCCTGTTCAAATCCTGCAAAAATATCTGTGAAAACATTAAAAACAACGTTTTTCAAGGTTTCATCCTCATTTGAATTATTTTAATCCACTACTGTACTAATCAGCGTTTTACAGTGATATTCCCCAACTTGGTGTCCCTTCTTTCTGAAATGAAAAAACTGAGTATAATCACAATAACTGCAAAACCTTTCAAACTATTCAAACGTGTACAGTACATGCTCAGACCATTAATGCTGCACATAATAGTCTGTGTTGCATGTTCAGACTGGCCCTCCCCTGATTTAAGTGTGATGCAGGCACCACCTGCTGTTCATTTGTGGTATTTTCTTTAAAACATCACTTGTAACAGAACGTTACATCAAGCAATTAAGAAAAAGGCCCACTCTTCAAAGTTATAAACTGAATTTATGGGTGGACAATCACAAGGCTCAAAAAAAGCTTTATGTGCATCTCTAATTATGTAAAACAAATACATAATAGAAGAATAACTTTTTTGCAAAGCAACAATTAATACTTTTTATTCTGCAAATGCAGGACAAAAATAAACTCATGTCATGCAGTGAGTCTGCTGTGTTTCAGTTCTGCACAGTCCAACCTTATTGTCATTCAGCTGTTTGGTCAGGGGTTCCCTAGATGCCTGCAACAGGTTATGCAGGCGTGCCTCATTTTGTCCAATGAGAGCCATAACGTCTCTCCTCTGGTCTTCCCACTGGTTGCTGTCAGTAATCATCTCTTCCAGCTGCTGCAGCCTCGCTTCCACGCCATGCTGAGTACTGTCCCACTGGCTGCGCACTCTCTCCACTGGGGAAAGACACAGAGGACTAACTGCTTGTGCCAGTGTTCAACACACCTCCTACCAACAAGCTCAAGGTTTACAACAAATATGGCATTTAATTTAACTGGGTTTAATTTCTGAAGGTCAGGATATCACTGATTGAGTTTCTAAGTTATTTTAATTTATTCAGTACTGCATTTAAAATATATTGAAAAATAGAGCACTTCCAAACAGCAAAAAAATCACCATCTAATTCTTGTCAGGAAAAAGACATTAGTCAATGCCACTCCTGAAAGACACATGTTTTGAACCAGATGCAGATGTTTTCTTGTGGATTTTCTGACACATAATATATAGCCAAATTTGGCTTAGTCCAGCTGCCCAAAACACTAAAAGCATGAAGGCGCTGTTTTATTGATAAGTGGGTTTTTAGTGTTTTATTGATAAGACATTTGACTAATATCCAAAATTAGTCAAATTAATGTTTCTAAAAATCTACATGTATGTTTATGATGCTCAATATATGTTTTCTATTTCCTCTTTTGAGGCTTTACTTAGTGCTGAATTCCAAGATGTATTTCTGTGTTTTCAAAAAACATTTTTTTACACAACTTTTTGGAAATGGTGTTTTAAGTCCACTAGTCTCAAAATGTTTTCTTAATAGAAATGTTTTAGCTCTCAGGAAAATGTGATTCCTGAAGTCTAAAGGCTTTCTGAACAGAGAAACAACATAAGGAATAGGATAGTGAGTTTAAGAAAAAACAGTGACAATGATGCAACATAATATAAATAAAACAGATTTCTCGCTTACATTTCTCAGTAATGGCTGTGCGCACATCCACATTAGAAGTCTTGTTCTTGATATTCTGCGCAAGAGTGAAAATATCCTCCAGCTGAGGGTGTCTTTGCTCCAAATCAGTCTTTGTCACCTAGAAAATAACATGGTTCCATTTTTTAAATAGAAAAGAATAAAAGCACTAAAAGTGTAATAAAGACTTGAATGACAACATATTTAAAGAGTAGTTAAAACATCTGAGTAATTCAACATTAAATCATCCATAATAGGAGGTTATCACTAGAATAAAAAATAATACAATTATCATTCATGTCTAAGTAATTTTTTAAGAAACACCACTATAATAGCTATCTATACAGCTTTATATCACAAAAAAGCAAAAAATCTAAATTCAGTAAAGCACCACCATAAAACCTGGAAAAAACCCTGCATTGACAGAATCTTTTAGTAAACTCATTTGTATTAAAATATTTTTAAAACCACTGTATATTTCCAAATATGTTTTTAAAACCACTTCAACTAGTGCTACCAATGTATTTCTAGTACTAATACTTAAAAAGGAAATTTACAGGTAAACTTACTAGATATACATGTAATGTGTGTTGATAATAGATATAAGCTAAAGTTGTAATGTCACCACTGCTGTTAATGATAACAGTTAATGGGTTCATTAAGTTCAGACAGATTGCTTATACAGGAAAAGTAAAAATAGACCAAGCAACCAATTTTATTCTTATACTGTATGTCACCTTTCAACTGAGTATTCTCAAAGCACTTTACATGAATTATACATAAACGTACAGTAAGCAGAAAAATAATCAAATACAGAAATATATTCTTTATAACATCAAAAGAAAGAATTATGTCAGGTATTGAAGGCCATCGAAAATAGGTAAGTCATGTGGCGAGATTTAAAAACATCAGCAGATGGTGCATTTTTAATATGGTCAGGAAGTGAATTCCAAAGATGGGAGGCTACCACCGAAAAGCTCAGTCCCGTGCGAAGGCTAACTAAGGCTGGAATGTAGTTATCTAGTTTTGAGGACTTACCTTGAGACGGCTAATTGTGGTTTTGATCTCCTCCACATCTCCAACAGTGACAATGTTTGACTTCAGCATTTGGTCAATGAGGACCAGCCAGTCAGCAAGTTCAGTAGCTGTCTCATTCAGATCTGTAGGGGCTACAAGCTCTGGGCTGCGAAGTGTCTGGTGGGCAGAATCTGAAGTTACAAGGCTAGCCATCTGGACTGCTGAGGGCACTGAAATTTAAAATAAATCATAATCAGCAACATACTACAAAAATCACACTAAAATACTTTTAGCTCCACTGTTGTTGTTGTTGCTATAACTTTTTGTCTGACCCTTTGATCCAAAGAGGCTCAGATTTGTTTCCATTTATGTAGTTGGACATGTTAGTGTCCAGCTGAGCTTAGCAATCTGACCTTAGCAAGAGGTACAACAGCAGTACCTCAACCTGGATTTGAACCACACCATAGCACTGTACCACATGCTTCTTTTTTATAAATATGGGTTGGGAAAAATAAATATAATTTAAAATAAGTTCACTAGTGGAACAAAACTAATAAAAAATAAAAAGAACCCTACATTAACATCAAACGTAATATTAAATGTGACCTTACATTGAAAATCTATTACGCACAGAAAAAAATAACATGTATTCATTATTTCATAGAGGTTTTTTAAAAGTTACTGTACATACGACAATGTTTTTCAGAACTTAAAGTGTATTATGCTATATATTAAGATAATTTACAAGCCATGTCTTATTTCAAAAGTACTGCAATAAAGGTAAATTATGCAAAAACAATCCTCCCTCCCACCACCTTTTTAAAAAGTCTAAAACAAACTGTTTGACTGCTACGGTCAACACTTTCAGGGCCAGGGGCTAAGAGGAATCCCATCCCTTTACCTGTGACCTTCTGCTGCGTGACCTGCTGGGTCCAGCTGACAGGAGACACCTGAGCCGCTTCCTTTACCGTGAAGTCCAGAGCCTTCCAATCAGCAGCCAGCTGCTCCACTTTACTCTGCACACAGGCACAGCAGAGACCACATGTTTACACCAGATTGCTTTAGCCCCACACAAATACTGGGCATGCTGTGCTGATACCTTTCACTAGAAATTAAGTCCCCCAGGCTGTGTGTTCGACTACAAAGATAATTTAAATGAAAAACGTTCTTCAAGGACAACAAAAAGTACATAGTATGAAAATAGGCTTCCAGCATTAAACCAACTGGGAACCTGAAAAAGTATTATGAAAAATGCTTTCTCTTTTACAAAACGCCTCCAAAGGTATTGCGACAGCAAATGCAAAACTTATTTTTGCTTTACAGCGAAGCAATTTGTAATGGTAATTGAGTTTACCAATCTCTTGTGTAATCATTTAAGATGCTTTACAAAGCCTTTGCTGCAGCACCTGTAAACTTCAAAATTGATTTAGACATATTTGACTTCATCTTCTGTAAGGAGGAGTAGGATAGAATTCCCCTAGGCAGTGTGAGAGACTGATCAACTCTTACAGGAAACATTTAATTCAAGTTATTGCTGCTAAAGGGGATGCCACATGTTACTGAATCAAATTCTGTACCTTTTTTTCCACGCAAAGATATTGAATGCTGGCTGATTTTTTAAAAAATAATGACAAAGTAGAATTATTGTGCGTTACTTGTCAAATGAGTTTAGGTTTATCTACTATTAGGACTAGGTGAAGGTGAAATCTGTTAAACATTCTGAAATATGTTAAACCATAAAATCTTAAAGGGGTGTACTTATTTTTTGCTTTTTCGCCAGACAGTACATCAGCAAAAACTAACGAGCCAGTTCCACAGGCAGCCATGTACACCCTGGCTATGACATGATCTCTACTGTGCCTTTCTTCACACTTAAACGTTTCCATCAATTTAGTAAAGGGATATTTTAAGTCTTTTCTGTCAACAAAACTTCATTAATATTCAAAACTTCATAGCTGTACTTTGCAAAGTTCTATGCAGAAAGGCTCTATCAGCTTTTCAAATTATGGCCCATCCTTTTTTACCATACTGCTTTAAGTTTGTGATATATGATGGTTTCTTGCTTCAGGTCCTGCTGTAATATTTCAATGGGGTTTAGGTTCAGACTTTGACTTATCTAATCCAAAACACAAAATTGCTTCTTTAACCATTCTCTTGTACAATAGATCTGCTTGTAATTTTTTAATCATTTGCTTCCTGCAAGAACCACCTTCTCCTCAGCTAGGAACCAATGGCCTGACATTCTCATCACAAATTTGCTGATACAATGCCAAATCCATGGTTCCATCATTGGAACCATCCACCAAGCTGCTGCCTTGATCCTAAGGGCAGCAAAGCAGCCACAAACCATGATACTCCCAACACTATGCTTGACGGTCAGGATGAGGAAGGCAGTGTTTTGTTTTAACTACACAAAAGATACAGTGCAGTCCATAAGTATTTGGACAGTGACACAATTATTGTTGTTTTGGCTCTGTACTCAAGCACATTTTAAATGAAACAATGACTATGAGGTTAAAGTGCTGAATGTCAGCTTTAATTTGAGGGTATTTACATCTATATTGGGTGAACCATAAAGGAATCACAGCCCTTTTTATACATAGTCTTCCCCATTTAGGAACCATGCAGACCACAGGGTGAGCACCCCCTACTTGTCCTACTAACACCTTTTCCAGCAGCAACCTTAGTTTTTGCCAGGAGCTCTCCCATCCAGGTACTGGCCAGGCTTAGCTTCAGTAGGTTGCCTATTGTTAGTTGCAGGGTGACATCAGTAGTCCTTTGGATCATCCAGATACTCTTTGGCGAATTCAGAACAGCACTCAATACTCTTTTAGAGAGTAATGGTTTCTTCCTGGCTAGCACCCCATGAAAACCATTCCCATTTAGTCTTTTCCTGAAGGTGGAGGCATGAATACTGACAATGGTGCAGTGAGAGAGGCCTGCAGATCCTTCACAGTCGCATCATCTAGGTGGATGCTGCACATTGGTGGTGGTGGAGGGGAGTCCCCATTACCTGTAAAGCACTTTGAGTGGAGTGTCCAGAAAAGCGCTATATAAGTGTAAG